TGAGGTCAGGCCAAGGAGGAGTTACTCAAAAAGAAGTGAAGCTTTCCTAACCCCCAGCCTGTAAACACAAATGGGAGCCTGCCTTTGTGCAATCTGTCACATACCATTCTTTCACTTAAAATAAGCATCTGTTACGCCGAGATTTCTAAGTTTTATCAGGTTGACCTAATAAATTTATTTTTCACCCAGTAGTGGCCGTATTGATTGACATTTTAGACCAGATAATTCTCTGTTCTAGGAAGCTGCCCTGGGCATTGTAGGATTACATGTAGCCAAATCTTTGGCCTCTGTGAGCAAGATGCCAGTAGGGCCCTCACAAAGGTCTCCAGATGTTGTCACTGTCCTCAGAGGAAAAATCAACTCTAGTGGAGACATACTGCTTGAAATACTTATGTAAATAAAACATGAACACGTTTTGAAAATTTCAAAATGGTGCAAGAGGTATGAGACTCCATACCACCTCTTAACACTTCTGCGTAAAGATAATGAATGTTAAGTTTCTTACATGTTTTCCAGAAAGTTACCATGCAAAAGTATATGGATCTATTCTTCACAGTCATGACCATTCAAGAATATACCTTGATATTTTTCATTTTAATATATCTGTGAGACGTTTGTATTACAACACAGTTTTATATTATTCTTTTTAATGTCTGCACAGTATTGCTCTGTTACGGATGAACCATAATTCATTTAACTAGCTATCAGTGTACATATGGGTTCTACTTTTTTTTTATCCTTTGAACACCATGTTAAACATCCTTGTGTTTTCATGTTGAATACTGTGTGATTATAACTATATCATTTAGAGTATTCCCTAAAAATGGAATCACTAGGCCAAAGGAAAAGTACATTAAATGTATTTGTGGACAGTGCTACACTAGTATCTGGGTAGGAGGTAGCCATTTCCTCAGGTTATGAAACTTTAAGTCTTTGCTCATGATACCTCTCTGTGCATGTATTTCATAAAAAGTGAGATTTCCTATATTTATAAGTTGTTTTTTTAACCCCTGTGATTACACTGCATATATTCTTTGCCTATTTCCCTAATAGCTTATTAGACATTTTCTTTCTCATTTGTAGGAACTCTTTATATATTAAGGAAATTAGTCCTTGTCATCTTAGTTGTCACAAGTATGTGTGTACTATTTATTTTCTTTCAACATTATTAATGTTTTTCTCTATAGAAATGAATTGTTTCAAATTTAGCCCTCTTTTGGTACAATTTCTGTTTTTAAAGTCTACAGAGTTTTACATATAAAGGTGCTTTTCCCCCCCATTTTCTTCTATTGCTATGAGCTTGGTTTTTTATGTTTAACTATTCAAGCCATCTATAATTCATTTGAGTATATGGAGTGAGACCAAAATACCACACAATTTTTTCTAAATATCATGCTGTTGACAAAGTTGCCTCATATTTGGGTGCAAAATAATAAAGCAAGATCCATACTTGGTGCTTGCAAAGAACCAAGAGAGGGCTGTTGTAACACAGTGAAGGAGAAGTGGTGCTGTCTGGACAACAGGCAAGGACCTGGTCTGTAGGCCTTTGTAAGTCAAGATTGTGAAGTTGATTTTATTCAAATAGTGTTTCTTTTTCATGGTGGCTTCACATGTTTCTCTATATATAACATATATTTTGCTTTTTTTAATCCACTGAACATTTAAAATTTTCTATATTATATAACAGACACACTATTACTTCCGTCATCACATTTTCTGTCATGTTTTTAGCTCTTAATGTTTCCTTGGTTTCTGTCTTTTGTTGCAATTCTTGTCCTGCGTTACTTCCCTAAGGCCTTGTAATATTCTCTCTGGCCTCTGGTATTGTATACTGCTGGGGAGAAATGTGAAGCCAGTTGATCTTTCCCCTTGTAGGTTAGCTGCTTTTTCTGCCATAATGTATTAAAGTAGCAGTCTTATAAAATTTTAACTCATTAATTCACATATCAGGATACTGGAAGGTATTAATCTTTATCTGTGGTTTTGTTTTCTGGGGACAAATGGTTCTCTCCCTATTGGCTGAGAAAGGTATTAGAATATTTCAGAATTTTTCTTTTATTATATCTTTGAACATTTTTTTTCTATTTTACTTGTTCTTTTTTTTTTTAATGTACACCTTTTTTGGGGACTATTTTCATTATCTTTGAGAGGCTATCAGTTTCTCTTAAAATGAATGTTAACCTTTTGTACTTTGTTTGACATATTTTTTCCCCATCCCTCCCTTCCTATCCCTAAGTGCTGTGTCGGCAGTATCAGTTCTGGGAGCTATCCCCCTTTATGTGCCTTTCATCTGCAACATTGACTTTTTCTTGTTTGTTTCCTTCTTTGATATCTTAGGCATCTTATTCTAGCTCTTATTTCAATGAAAAGCCACACTTTCTTGAGCTCTTCTTGTGCTTGTCAAGAGCATTCAAGATATTCTCCTACCTTGTGACCTGGTTCTTTCTGTAAAGATTAGTTCATAGTATTTTCATTTATTTAACTATTATATTATTTCATATACATATATGTGGGTGTGTGTGTATGTGTGTGTGTGTGTATATATATATATAGTGTTTTCCTTATTGTTTTCTGATGATGTGTAAGGAAGAGGGGCTGCAAAGTTGTCTCAGAACAATTTTGTCATGAAATGTTCTGCCTCTTCCACACTAGCCACCTGTAACTTGACAGCAGTAAGCACCTCCCTCACTGCCATTTCTTCTCCTTCGGTGAGTTAAAGTTCCATGTGTCTCACACTGAATGTCTGTATGTTACGGGTTTTCTGCCAGAGGAGTTTGCATTTCTTTCTTTTCAGGTTCCCTTGATCAGAGTCTGCCCAGTTGATGGCCATTTATCCCCCCTATTTTATCCTGCCATCCTCCTCATTGCTCCCCTCATTGTGGGGAGAAACCGCGTTTGTGTATACATTGCCCCTAGAACCTCAGTTTGCTTGCCATGCTGAATGGGGCAAGGGGCTTCGGCCATGACTTGTCTCTGCTTCTAGATTTCACCCTTTAAATATAAGAGTTGATTCAGCTGTTTCTTGGATAGTTTCCCTTATTTCCTGCAAAACTTTTTACTCTGTAGGTTTTGTCTGCTATTGGCAGTCCCCCTTGTTTGAACTAGTCTTGTTGCTTTTATTACTTTCATTCTGTGTCATCTGTATTTTCATAAAGGCTATTCCATAGTTTCATTGAAAATAGCTATTTTCTATTTTCAATTATTTTTGCTGTTTTCAATTATTTTTGCTGTTTTCAGTTGATGTAGGGAAGGGGGGAGAGGTGTAGAAATATCACTACCTTCAACAAAAGATGACAAATTAACTGAATTAAACAATAAAAGTTAAGTGTTCACTAGATATTTATCAGTGTTTGCTCATTTGTTTGAATGGGAGAATATGAAAGTATAACACAATCTTGGGGAAATAAGGTTATAACTCTTAAAACAATTGACAAATATGCTTGAGTCAGATGTGGGTCCAGGCTCTCATTGCACTAAAATTTTGGCTGAAGTATTGATTGTCAAGGCCGCCAGTGGTTAGAAAGCAGTGCAATTGGAAATGTTGTTTTAGGGACAGCTAATATTTGAACAGGTGTTGTAAAAAATATTCGGCATGCAGAACACAGCACAAATTTCTGATTCTTAGTCCCCCATCAATATTTCTTGACTGGAAACAGCCACACCTCTTGGGGACCTCTTCGGTGACAGTTGGATTTATGAGTGAATTGGTGTGTGGAAGGATTTTTGAAGATCAGCAAGGTCGGCAAGCTTATCTTAGGTTTAAGAGACTTCATAGTAGCTTTTTGAACCAGAGGATGAAATAATGAGAGCCGTTCTTAAGAAAATTTCATCTGTCAATTGAATTGAGGTGTATTTCATTTGATCCCACTGGGGCTTGATGAGTCCTTTGTCCTGGGTATCACACTCAGTACAGTTGTGCATGTAAGGAACCTGGATTCAAGAAACTGGTTTGGAAAAATCTGATGCAGTAAAATTTCAGTAGTAGACTTGATCTCAACTCTTATTATCATGGGGTGGCTGTTCTGTGTTGCCATTGTAGTTCAACTCTAGTAACAGATTCAGTCTGTCATGATTTTTACCACTTAGGTGGAATCTGTGATTCACACAGGATGCTTTAAAGTCTACCTTAAAATCAGTGGAATCCTGTTGTATCCCCAGAATTCAGATGACTTTAAGCAGTGGCACTTTGCGTTTCATTTTTCCATATTCGTTCCCTTCTAAATCAGGTTTTCGTCCATCCTCGTGATCCTCGACTCTCTCCTAGTGCAGTCTTACTGCTCCACATCTTCTACTAATTATGCCTGTCTGATTCCTCCTTCTCTAAAATATTTTTATTCCCTGGCATTTTGCTCCACAGTTGTTTTTATGTCAGTCCTGCTTAACCAATTAGAATTACAGTCCACTTGAAGACATAAATAATTGTCTACATTCTATTTATTTCTACATCCCATGTTATTCCTGAAGATGATTTGAGCATGTTCCTTCCGTACTACCACATTTTGACCTTTGTTGAGGAGGTGGACATCTGATTAAGGGGGGTCGGTATTTTATGAGCTAAGCTCACAAATGACCAACAGAGGAGTTTTTGTTGTTCTTTATTTATGGTTTTTATCTGTTTGAAAGTCCTACAAAGATGAATCATGTTTAACAAATCAACTTTATAGGGGAAAAGAGCGTGAATTTGAGACTCTTCCAATCAATGAGAAAGCGTTGCCATGAAACACATTCAATATAAATTAAACATAAGTTGCTTTTCTGTAAATATGTGCACTTTACCAAATTGATGTATGCCTTCAGGACAAATTCCCCTTAAAATATTGGTACATGTGATATTGGGACTTTATATTTTATGAAAGAACAGACCGCCACATCCTGTGGCTCTTTATCCCTCAGCAGCTGTGTCCAGCTGGTGGTCCACATTCCCCCCGCTACTTCTTCAGTGAATGGAAACATTTAGGTCAATATTGATATAAAACTTCTCGAACTTTCTTCTCTTCCAGCTTTGGTTCGCCTTTGTTAATGGATTTTCTGGGCAGATTTTATTTGAACGTTGGTGCATCGGCTTGTACAATGTGGTAAGCATTCTCCATCTCTATCAGATAGCATGCAGAACTTCAGTGACATTCCTTTACTGTTTATGTCTGGGAAGTGTATCTAAGTCAATCATCTGCACACATAGCAGGCAGCACAAATACGTCTTTAGAGCCTTTGTTGCGGCGACACATCCTGCAGGGGCCCAAGTCCTCCACACATGGTTTCAATCATAGCAGATCATTCTTGAATAACCCCATGAAATTATTAACCCATATATCTTGATAATAGACCCTTGTTACCTCCTTACTAAATGTCTGCACAACATTTCCATGTTTTTAGCTCGAGTAAAAATTTCTGAGCTACATCGCAACCCCTTCCACTTCATAATTTTATTTCTGAATTCCTCAACACAGACATGCATATATAGTCATAATCTAATGTCCTTTTTGTCCTTCTTAAAAGAGCATCTGTCCTTGCGGAAGAATGTTTTCTTCTACTGCTAGTGCTAGAATAATGAATGCTGACTTCCAGCTCCCGTGGTGAATGGTAATCAGCCTGTTTGGTATTTTTCATGATTTTAGAGTTCTTTTTTTCATTACTTCGCTATCATGGATTCAAAAGCTAAAAATAAATATGAACTACAAGCCAAAAATGACGAAGTGTAGCTACTTAGCTTTTTGTTTGGCAGCGAGAACTCAGGGGCTCACAGCCTGGTGCTTTAGAGACCCCAGCATGCAACATTTCGAGTTGCACGTCCCCGTGTCCTTTGGACACTAACTCTGACCTTGCCTGCCCGGTGGGAGTTTACAGTCAGAAGTAGCCATCATAGGTAGATTCAGATGGCAGTTACCAGACATACAGTATACATCATGGAGCTATAAATATTTAAAGCTTGTATATACATTTGTGGCTGTATGTTCAAGTCATCTGTCCACTCCTCGGTCTTTTTTTCTTTTTTAGTAGCTACCATGCTCGTTGCTGGGTATTAAATGCTGCATATGACAGGTTGTCCCAGCCCTGTGTAGCTTGACAAGTAAAGAGGGCCAAATGGATAGAAGAACCTGCCACTGGGACCTGAGTTCAGATCTGGAGTTTAAAGAGCACCGGTCAGTTACGGACTGTCCCACGACCAAGTGCACTAGCACATTTGTTGCTAATACTTAGGCTCAAAAGGCAAAGGTGACCGTATTGAGAGCAGGGCTGAATCAATGCCCATTTTTTACCTGTGCCAGAAGTTAGAGCTACTCTAATTCACCTACCACATGGAGAGAGGCTCAGGGACCTCCCCTTGGACGGATTGGTAATTTTGCAGAACGTGTGACTGTTTTGAGCAGATTAAAATTATGTTGACTGTTCCATAATGATTTAGTGCCAGAAAGGGCCAAATCCATGCTTATATACATATTTATAAATAGGAATATATATTTATAAATAGGAAGCTGTGTGATGGTGCTTTATAGCAAAGGAGTAGAATACAAGTCACCTGGTCACAGGCATGGAGGCTAGCCCTAGTTCTATACTCAGGCATAAGAGCTGGATTCTTTTCTTAGCTCTGGGCAGCCTTGGACAATTGAAATTAATCCAACAAACTCATATTGAGGACCTGCTATGCATGAAATGCTGATAGGCTTTAAGACAGCATTGGTCAAAATAGGGTCCACATCCCACTTACATTAGAATAACCAAGGTTTGTTTGAAGATGCAGATTTCTAAGCCCCATCAGAGTTTCTCAGATTTACTGAAAAATGCAACAAAATTTTAAACATTTTTTTTTTTTAGTAATGGTTGTGCATATGCAAATTTAGGACCCATGGTGAACTTTTGATCCCTAGAGTTGGGAATGTGTGGTATGCTCTTTGTGTCCCTCAGAAAAGAGAATATTGGGGTAAAGAAGTGAATTTCAAGGTGAAATGGCCCTATGTCATGTCGCTACAGGTCCACAGAACAGGTGTTGGAGTGAGCCACCAACCAGTGGTGGCAGAATTGGGAAGATCAAGGGTCCACGAAGTAGTGTCAGAAAGTGTTGGCCTCCAGGAGACAATCATGCTGAAAGGGCCAAACCTTTTGAGAACATGGAAGTTTGTCCCCATTGGAATTGTTCTGTGGGGTAGGGGGAGCACATAGGTGGCTCAGTAGATTAAGTACCTCCCTTCGGCTCAGGTCATGACCCCAAGGTCCTGGGATCAAGCCTCACGTTGGGCTCCCTGCTCAACAAGGAGCCTGCTTTTTCCTCTACCCCTCCCCTTGCTTGTGCTTTCTCATGTTCTCTCTCTCTCTCAAATAATAGATAAAATCTTTTAAAAAGTTATTGTTTTGGTAACTTTTGTTTGAAATAAACTGAAACTTAGAGAAATTGAAACTTAGAGAAATAATGCAACAGAGTATGAAGAACTCTTGTATTAGATTCCTAGTTATTAGCATTTTGTCCTCATTTGCATTATCTCTCTGTGCATGTGCATGTGTGTGCACAGCCCTGACGGGCACACGTGTGCACACCCATAGACATGAGTGTGCATACACACACACCCACGGGCGCTCATGGTGCACACCCACCAACACACTTATTTCTGAATCAGTTGAAAATAACACATCAGGCCCCCTTACTGCTTAATACTTTGGTACATAGATGCTAAGACCATTCTCTTATCTAACCACAGTATAATGATTGAAATCTAAAATTTAGCATGAATACAATACTATTATCTGATCCATATTAGTCCATATTCCAGTTTTTGCCACTTTTGTTCCAACAAGTCCTGTTTAGTAGAATTTTCCCACTCCAGACTGTACTCTGGTACAAGAGGCAGTTTGGGACATCTGAGACATTCACTAGTGACCCCTCTTCTGGGCTGGATTTCCTTCTGCCATTTTCTCCAAACAGTATTTCTGCCTTGCTTGTCTTACTTTTTCTTTTCTGTAGTTACTCTTTATATTTATGTTTGATTCCCCGGGTCAGCTAAAGTAGCGAGTCATCATTTCTCATAGCAGATTAAATAGCATTAAAAGTGACTTGAAACTCTTAAATCTCTCAGAATAATGAATGAAGGAATGCCATCCCATTGGATTCTCATTAAATCCATAATCAAATTTCTCCATCATTTTGTTTTATGGTTATAAGAACCACCATGATCAGATGGATTTCAGTTAGATTTCATCTCTTATTTTATGAAGAGATAACTCAATGTGTTTTAAGCTGTTTCAAAAATTTATCCCATTTAATCTTATCAAGCCAGCATAATTTGAAGAAAAAACTGTGAGCCATCCTCGCTTTTAAACAGAATTATAAAAATTCTACATAAATAGCAAATAGAGTTCAACAGTGTATCAAAAGAGTAAAATATTTGACCAAGTAGGGTTTATTTCAGAAATATAGGAGGTTCAAACTTTTTAAATATTTCTAAATATTATATCAACAAAAGAAAAAAGAAAAACCTGATCTCATCAGTGGATGCTGAGAATGTATTTGAGGAAAGTCAGCTGCCATTCCCAAAATAAGAACTCTAAGTAAAATAGGAAAGAAAGAAACCAATTAACTATAATCCAGACTATTCATATAAAAAAAAAAAACCAGTAGCATATTGCCATAAATGGTAAAATCCTTAAATGATTTCATTTTAAATAGGAAATTAGTTAGGGATGCCTGAAATCACTATATAATTCAGCATTGTTTTCGGAATTTTCAGCAACTGCCAAGAAAATTAAATAACTATTACAAATACTAGAAAAAAATGATTTCTGTGCTTATACAAATATGCACAAAAAAAAGTATCCTTTTAAATGTATTCATATGTGGCTGTCTATCTAGAAAACCCAGAAAATACCAGTAAAGAAATACTACAATTATAAGAGAATTTAAAAGGTGACTAGATCCATAATAAACATGTAAGACCCAATAGCTATTTTCTCTCCTAACAATCAATAGCTTTTTTTAAACTCTAGCAATGAGCACTTAGAAATGCATGGGTAGGGGCACCTGGGTGGCTCAATGGGTTAAAGCCTCTGCCTTCGGCTCAGGTTATGATCAGGGTCCAGGGATCAAGCCCCGAATCAGGCTCTCTGCTCAGCAGGGAGCCTGCTTCCCCCTCTCTCTCTGTGCCTGCCTCTCTGCCTACTTGTGATCTCTATCTGTCACATGAATAAATAAAATCTTAAAAAAAAATGCATGGGTATAATAATTGCTTTCATACACATTGCATAGGAATAATTTTTATAGTACCAAGTAGGAAAAAAAATGCAAAATCTTTTTGAAGTACACAAAATAGAGTTGAACAAATAGAAAGGCATATTATTCTTTCATATGAGAAGGTGATATCATTAAAAAAGCTCCTCTAAATTGATATATAAATTTATGTATTCCAATAGAATCCCAGTGATTGATTGGTGGGGGAGGGAGGGCAGTTACATAAAATGATATCAAAGTATAAATAGAATTAACACGTACCTGAGAATTAAGATGTACAAAAAAGAACAATTGTAAGGGTCAACTTCTCTTTACTAAACGTTGGACTATAGTACGAGCCTGTTGTAACCAAGTGAATGTGATGCTGATGTGAAACTGGACTAGGCAGTTAGGGAATCCAAAAGTAAATTCCAGTTTTGGATTCCAGATCTGTAATATGTGAGAATTTAATAAACGTCAAAGGTGCTATTCTAGCTAAATGGGAAATGTTTGGATTAATTGTGTTCTAACAACTTGGCTCTTTATTTGGAAAAAAATAAAATTGGACTCCTATCCTATACCACATTGATAAATAAATTCCAGATATGTTAAGGTTTACATGTGAAAAATTAAAACTGTAAGCTTCCTGCAAGAAACTCCTGAAAAGTTTAATAACTGTATTTGGACACTCAAAGCTATTCTTGACCATATAAAAATTAAGCACTTTTATATGGCAAGAGAAACCATCAAGAAAGCCAGGAGACAGAATTCATTTGGATGGAACTTTATAATACAAAGACAGAATGGATATCTGTTATAATCCAAGAACTCTTAGAAAAGTGGATAAACCACAAATAGAAAACGGACAAAGGACCTATGTAGACCATGCACAAAACTGCAAATCCACATGTCAAACAAATAAATAAAAACATTCTCAAGCGCATCAGTAATCAGGGAAATGTGAATTTTTTAAAAAGATTTATTTATTTATTTTAGAGAGAGAGAGAGAGACAGAGCATGCATAGGTGCAGGGGGTGGAGAGCTAGAGGCACACGGAAATAGAGAAATTCTAAGCAGACTTCGTGCTGAGCATAGAGCTGGACATGGGGCTCCATCCCAGGACCCTGAGATCATGTCCTGAGCTGAAACCAAGAGTTGGACGCTCCACCAACTGTGCCACCCAGGTGCCCCCAAAATGTAAATTTTTTAAAGTAAGAGTTAATATCTCCAATTTTTCAGTCTGGAGAATATTAAATATAACACCATTGCTGATAGAGAAGCAGGGACAAGATTACTGTTGTCCTTTGTAAAAGGAAAGGTAAACGTTTTTTGAAAGCAACCAAGCAGCATCTTGTAAAATTTGAAATAATTGTATCTATTATATTAATTGTACCCACACTGTTTCTGGGAAACCTTCCCATAGGAATAAAAGATAAAGTATATATGTTGTAATATAGCATAGATTTTTTTTGATACAAAGTTTGTGGAACAAAGAGTTGGAAAGAAATTAATGCCTATCTGTAGGTGAATAGCTTAAAAAATATGGTGCATACATACTATGGATTAGTTATGGGCATGAGAAAATTGCATTAGTGTCAGGCCGAGGGGACTTGAAGGGCATCCCATCGTGCACTGTTTTGTGAGAAAAATGTGATGATGAAAAATGTGTGATTGTGTCTTGTTTCTGTAATAACCAAGAATGATCCCTAAACAGTATACATATGTGTATGTGGTATGTTGTAAGCAGGGTGAAAATATGGAAATATGGTAGGTCCTACAGGGCGGATGTCCATTGGTGAAGGGTAGGATGATTTGAAGTGGGTAGAAAGTCAAGTAAAAAAGGAAAGAAAGAAAAAAAAAACCAAGGATGGCAGTATCAAGTATGCATGATAGCACATTTAAACAAAACCACAAGGGAGAATTGATGTACTAAGTGTGCAAAGCTTCTGAGATGTTTGTTAGGAGCATCTCCCTTAAACAGATGACTTGTATTCCTGGGAGAGAGATGAGTACGACCACTCTTGATCCTTTTGTCCTTAAAACCTAGAGAACATTGACATCCCAGGGCTGTTTACCTTTCTGCTCCAAGGTATAAGAGGAGCCTTCAAGTTTTACTGGCCTTCCTCCACCTGTAGATTACAGGTAAAGGCGAAAGTCTCAGAAGGCACCATTGGCCCAAGAAACTCATTGTCACGGGAGCTTGCTGTCTCCTTCCCAGCCTTGTCTTGTGCCCTGTCCTCAGCCAGTCACCATCCTGGATGTCGTAGAAGTCCAACGCCGACCCCCAAACATACCACATGTGTTCAGACCCAAAGCTTTGTGAGGGGTTCCTGTTTCAGGGGAGTCCTTCCTTCTTGCCCCTCTCCCTGACATTCCTTTTCCTCCTGCCAAATCCCCTAGGTCCAATACCTTACGGGTCAGGCACTCTTTGGTCCCAGAATCCTGACTCTCCCTTCTCCTTCTCCACGCTCTCCCCCATGAGTAATTTTGCAGAGTGCTGCGTTTTATGTGTTTGTTTATACGCCTGCCGCCGGCTGCCTGTCTCCCGCTCTGCAGTAGACGGAATTCCTGGAGGTCAGGGACCTGCTTCTTTTCCTTCTTCTGTCTTTAAACGTCCGTACCTATTCCTGGTGCTTATCACAGTGTCTGGCCCATAATTCATTCCCAATAAATGTCTGTCAGATGAATAAATGCATGAAGTACATCATGCTTCCTGAAATCTGAGTATAAGATCAGGATGGGAAGTTGTAAAATTGTGCCTGAGCCAATGATCACGAAAAGCACGACACTTCACAAAGCCACATAAATCACTGCTCATTTGACAAAGGAAGGTAGTTGTTAATATGACATGATTTCTTAGCTAACCATATATTTATGGTGTTGTTTTCAATGTCCAATGGATTCATTTTTGCTGATTAAGTAACAAAAAAGGTCGTTCGTGCACTTTCTTTGTTTGGAGGGTGTCTGGTAAGTTGTGAATCATTGAAGCTCAGGTTCGGACTTGACCTAAAATTAAGTCATCATTCCATAGAACGGAAACACCTAAGCCAGGAGAATCAGAACATCCCCTTTTAACAGCTCATTGTTCTCCATACAGATTTTCACTGCACTACCACCCTTCACGCTGGGAATCTTCGAGAGGTCTTGCACCCAGGAGAGCATGCTCAGGTTCCCACAGCTCTACAAAATCACCCAGAATGCAGAAGGCTTCAACACAAAGGTACACAATGTTATTGCAGAATTGTCACTTCAAAAGGGCATAAGCATTGCTGTATGTCTTCCAGCTCTAGTTATCTGCATGTGAGAGAGCTAATGCATTAGAACATTCGAGAAGAGGTGAGACGCCTGTCCTCTCCCAGTATAACAAGCCAGTAAATTCAAGATGCCAGTTGGAAAGGAAGCTTCTGTGTTCCATGTTTAGTTCCTATTTGTTGACTCCTTTCCCCTTGTCCCTGTGTGGCCAGCAGCACCCATGGCCCTAGGGCCTTTTGGATCAGCTGTCAGAGACTCCCCTTACCCTTCATAAAGCCTTGCATTGAGGAGGGCTGGGAGCTTGCCTAACAGAGCTTTCTTACCACCCTGGCTTGGTTTTTCCTTTAAAAGAAAATGTTTCTTTAGCTAGCGAGAAAAATTGGCCAAATGTCAACACAGGAATCCAGTCAGTCGTAGGTATCTTTTTTTTTTTTTTTAATCAGACTGGAAAATCAAACGAGAAAGCCTCTAGACTTAAAAGGTGTCAGCAACCCTGCGAAGGGCCAAGTAGAATCTGGGTTGGGTGTTGCCAGGATTCCACAGTCAGGACAGGCAGAGGGGACCTCATAGGGCCTGCCAGTCACAGCCAAGTGGCAGAGAGGTTGAGGGCCTCAGCCAGAAGAGAAGACACGTGCCAGGCTCGGTGCAGGATGCCTGTGTTGCCATGCTTCTGTCTTCGGGTTTTGTGCAGGAGGGGATTAGGATGTTTAATGAGAGGTTCACTGAAATCTTTTAACAGAGGTCAGTGAAATTACTGGGCACCGGTGGTGTGCATGATTTGCTTGGGTAGCCGCCGGGGCCTTGGTAAGGATGCCAAGGGGAGTCCTCCAGGATAGAACCACCTCTGAAGCCTTCGTTTTGAGCCGGTGTTATTGATAGCCTCCCTTCAAAGCTGTCTTCTTTTGAAGAAAGCATAATAGGCACTTCCAAGCCTGGAAAAAAACCAAAATGGATCCTATTGGTTTTACTGCCTTCCATACACAGGAAGACTTGGATGAATACTTGTTTTCAGTCCCTGTTTACTATGAGTTTGTCAATGGGAAGCATGGCCTGTTGGTTCTGCATTCTTTATGTAACTCTGTTTTTTAAAGCGCTTGAATTCAAAAGCCCTGTAAGATGGGAAGTAAGTAGGGAATGGACCCACTTAAAAGGTAGTAGAGCTGAGAATTCTCTGAGACTTATTTGCAGACGCCTTGGAGACTTTTTTTTTTTTTTTTTTGAGGGGGTGGGTAAGGAGGTCAGGGAGAAGGGAAAAAAAAAATGAACATTTAAAAATGGAAAATCCCATTGTCTTATGATTTTTTTCATTTTTCTGCTTCCCAACCGCTACTTAGGATCAAACTATACGACAATCCCCAGAACAATCTAGATTTTTTAAATAAATTCAAGCTGGCTTTAGTATAGTAGTTCTGTCATCTCAGTAGTAAAAAGATGATTAAAGTGCATTTATGAAACCTTAATTTAGAAGAAACTAAACGTTGTGTTCTTCTGTTTGACCTTTCAAGTGTTAAAGAGAATGTTTAAATGTGCGTTATATTAACCAAACTCCTAGAAATTAACAAGTTGCTCGGGAGGGATTTTAAAAAACAAAACAAAAGAATGGGAGCACCATGTAGGAATCTACATTTAAAGTGTTTTTAATGCTTTCAGGAAGTCCACAGTTTCTGTCTCTTGTTAACAATTTTGACCTAACACCTTTCTCTTTCTAGATGATTGTAAAAGTCTGTTGTCTTTTTTTAGGATTCTTAAAAAAAAAAAAAAAAAAAAGGCTTATAAATCATTTTTGGTTGTGGACAGATTGTATATTGGTCCACGTATATGTGCATATATATTTAGGTCTTTGCAGCAAGGTAATATTATCCGGAGATAGTCCAGTCATTTGTATGTAAAAATGAGGAAACCGGTATTTTTTTAACTTCAAGAATACTAGGCTACTTCTGGAGCAACGCAGCCCACTGCCAGTATCCTTCACAATGAGGTGTTTGTTGAGTTGAACAGAGGTCAAGAGTTGTGGGCAGCTCCTGACTCCCTTGGTTTGTTTTCCCTTAGGTTTTCTGGGGTCACTGCATCAACGCCTTGGTCCACTCCCTCATCCTCTTCTGGTTTCCCATGAAAGCGCTGGAGCATGGTAACGGCTTCATGATTTCAACTGTCAGCAAGTAGCTCTGCGGTCCCTCTGGTGCCAGTTGTTCACAAAATTTTTTTTTTCCCAGTTCTGTAGACCGAGAGATCACAAAAACACATTTCAGAAGAAAAACATACCTAAAATCTAATGAGAGCTCGGGCTCAGGTTTATAGCTTGTAGGTTTCATCCATTCTGGCTCCGAGAGCCCATTTTCTTTCCAGTTGCCTGGAGAGTTTAAATGCTAGGAATTCTAAACTTAATTTTTAATAACTGAGTGAAGAATCTTGAAGCAAAACACTGTGCTGGAGTGAAACATCGATGCCTCTCAGCCCCAAGTTTGACATATTCTGTTAATTGCTTGGGCTTTCGTCTTCCAACCTCACATACCTGTATGCAGAGTCACTCAAATCTTGTGAGGGTCTAAACTTACACCTCATTTCTTGAAAGAGTCCCCTCTCCTTGACATACACTTTTCAAGCAGACTTTTAAAGTTTAAGGCCCGATTCTCTCGACTGGTTTTAGTCTTTCCTCCAGCTGGAAAAGGACGTGTGAGAAACGTGGCTGCCTGTATTTGTTCACACTCCTTAATACATCCAAGAGATTCCCTCCTAAAGAGACACATCTTTTAGTCTCAGAAAAGGAAAATGGATCATGAGAATGCTACTCTTTCATCCCTCTCAAATAGTAATAATCCCCCTGGGAAAAATTACTCCAAATGTTGACTAGACAAGGCCTTTTATTGTTCAGAGAACCAAAGAATATAAAGCTTCCAAGCCTCTTTGTTTCTATGTCAATCTGTTTTGTGCTTCAAACAAAAATGATTCATCCTCACTGATATTCTTTAACCTATTAAATACCGACAGTTAGAAAAAATACATGCCCTGCCAATTTATTACAGCCTATGACCTGTTCTTTGAGTTTCATCTGACCCCCTTTTCCCTCAAGGGTCCCTAAGTATCTAGATCAGGAAATAAAAACGTTCTACTTCTAGCCCTCCACCCGCCCCCAACACACGGGGCATTCTAGCAAAATCGTGTTCTTTGAACTCTAAAGCTCTCCTGTGGTTCAGCTTTACTCAGTGTGGATTTCTGTGTATTTCGAGTGAGCAGGGGCTACAAATAGAAGAGTGTTGAACGTGGTTTGCTTTAGAAGCTCTGCCAGTTTGGTGATAGAAACTGCCATCTCTGTAGCAGGATGGACTGGGGCTGGGAAGTAATTTGTCTGATGAGCGTAAAAACAATCTGGACAGCTGTCCTGTTATCCCTGAGCCCATACTTAGGAAGACACAGGGACTAGTATGGACTGGACCACGACTACCATCTCCAGGCCCCTTACCCTTCTCATCTAGACATTGCACTCTGGTCCTAACTCCAGAGTGCTTGCCTTTGGACCCTCAGAAGATTTATAAGATGGTCACTCAGTTGTCTGCTTCAGAAAGCCCTAATATGGCCCATTCTGCAGTAGAAGTGATGGTTTTCCAATCCCGGAGATAGGATTATGTGTGTTGAGATTGCAGCTTGCTACTTATGGTGGAATTGGGATAGTCTAGCTAGATGCCACTATATAAATCTGTTCATTCCCCTGAAATAGCCTGTGTTTCAAAACAGACTCCCAAAAGTTACTTATTTACCTGAGAGATAGCACCACGTGAATTTCAAGTCCATTTCTGCCACCCTTATCAGCTTCCCTCAAATCTGGTGATTTACCTAGTAACCAGCCCATAGGATATTTTTCCAGTTTGTATTATCATCACTATCATCATCAATGCCATTATTTTATTGTAAGTATTTAGCCTTTGGCATAGAAGCTTTCTGTTAATTTTGTTGTAAATGTTAACCTATTGAGTGTAACTGTGTGAGATGAAATAAATTGCAAATATTAATTATATTTGGCAGAGAATTATAGGAGGCCATTGGTGTTCTTGTTCATGAGTTGACTTGTTCTAACAAATGAATATTTTAAAATTAATTTCTAAATTCTCACTATTAATGCATAGCAAAGCTGATTGCATCATTGCTCATTAACCTTATTGTGTAATATTTATGTCTAAGGCTTTGGGGTGGATTCTAAGGGTGCTAGGTGAATGGATCAACGTAGCCTTACTGTCAAAGGGTTTGTAGTCTGGTAGGGAAACTAGATCCACGCATGGAAACTTCTAGTACAAAGTAGAAAATAATTCCCGCAAGTCAAATACAGATGATATGCTATGGGTTTTCAGAGGGCTGAGAGAAAATGCCTTTCTTTTGGGATTATTAATGACTTAGTAGAAGAGGTAACATCCAGGCTTAGCCTGGAAGTCCAGATAGGATCGAGAGGTGTAGGAATGGATGGAAGAGCCGAACAATGTAGAGAATTTCAGGGCAGATGTGGGAAGCTGTGAGGAGTCTATCCTTTCACGGGTGAAGGTCAGAAAAAGATTTGAGAAGGTGGGTGAAAACTGGACAGCACAGGGTTTTGAATGTGAGGTTGAGAAGTCAGGACTTAAGATGTTATGTGAAGAGTTAGCCTGGATTTTAGATCAAGGAGAGTATCATGATCAGAGCCCTTTGGGGAACAAATGTATCAAGTCCATAAAAGTGAAAGGTAGAAGGAGAACTAGAGGCAAGAACACTCGTGTGTGCAGGTGTTGCAGAGAGTGTGTAAGGAGATTAACACCCAGGAAATGGGAATGTGCTTACACACTTCCAGGGAGTGTGTTTTGAGAATCTGTTGATTTAGCAGAATCATGGTAAATCAGTGACCCTGAGAGTGCCAGACCTTGAGAGTACACATATAGAAATTCTGCCTCTCCTGCCCCCGGGCCGCTTCCGGAAGGCCAGAGCTGATGACCAGGAGATGCGTACATTGCTGCTTCCTGGCCAGTGTGCTGTGGGCTACGGGGACACAACCTAGTCCAGAGGCTCTTCTGAGGAAGAGACATTTATATTCTTGAAAGGTGAGGAGGGGCTGATCAAGTGGGGTAGGGCAGGTGTGGGGAAAAGTGAGAGAGAGAGCACTCTGGCCCAACCAGGCAGGCATGCAAGAACCTGAAGAGGCCATGGACAGGATTTCCCAATGCAGGGCCGGGGAAACCCAGATTCTAGACTTTGTTGGGTGCCCTTATGAGCATTTCAGGATGCCGGCAGCAAATGTCAGTAACCTTCTCTTTTTCTTTCCCTATCCTTGTGCAACTATAATAGAGCAGAACATGTCTTGACATATTTCCAGTGTCCCCTCTGGGGTCAGCAGTGGCACCCTCTAGTCAAGACAGCTGCATCAGAGAGGTGGGGGGGAGTGGCTGGGAAGGAGGGCGGGAGGTTAGGGTTAGGTGAGGGTCAGATCAGGAAAAGCTGGGTGCAGACTTTTCTCGGTGAGAGGCAGGAGGTAGGAAGATTTGCTTCATAGAAAAACACATGATGTTTGGCAAGAGCATGGATTTTGGGGGTTGGCAGAAAAAGAAAGTGGTGGAAATCAAGAAAGATTGCAAGTTTGAGAAGATAGGGATATGGCAGCTGATGGGTTTACTTGTTTATATGTGCTGATTTACTGTCTTAATTCTGAGTTCTTGTTACACTTTGAATCACCATTTAGAATGATGTAGCACCCCACCCCCAAGGAAATACAGGAACTGATTTGAGAGGAACTGAGACAGGTTCAAGGCTTGGGGGACCCTGATCTAACAGAGGAATGACTCTGTCCACCCCCAAGTCCCACCTGAAGCTGTCGCCCAGACTCTGTCTCACAGCCAGGACCCTAAAGGAGTTTTGCTTGATGGGCTAAGGTCCCCAGAGCCCTTCATTTCATTGTTTCACACTCTGTGGATTATGTCACAAAGATGGTGGATTTTACTAGGAGCTTCTCTCTTCACTATGAAGAGCGGCTTAGAGGCTTACATACCAGTGTTGTTCACTTTGGGCACATAATTGTTGGGAAGAAATATTTTCGAGAAGGTGTGAGCCCGTCGTTCATTCCTTAGAGAGGTTCCAAGAATTTTGCTTTGCTTATTTTTGCGTGGTTTTGGATAGACCTTTCAAAGCACTCCTTTGCTGATGGAATTTGTGATGATTCATTTCAAGTTTCAAAATAAATTTTTCCACTCAAGCAATTCAGTAAATCAGATTTCTTCCAACCATCACAATCTTATGCTCAGTCCTGTGGCCTGTCTGCAGCTCCCATACTTTGATCTGAAAGCGAGTCTAGGTTAAAACCGGAGATGTCACCTTTGTAGGGCCCGAAATTCATCAAGACCCTTGGTGTCTGCCCACACTCAGGTTTTCCATTGGTGGAGTCCAGTCTGCATATTTGAGTATTCCTCCTTGAAGTGGACTGTGGTTATTGGCAAAAGAAAGTAATATCAGTTTGGACTTAAAAAAAGGAAATTTTCAGATTTTTCTTGATGAAATTTAGGGGAGGGTGAGGAGAAAGAGAATATACTTAGCAGCAGAGAAAAATTCCTCAAAACCTTTGTTTCTCAATTCCTCACAGCCCACACCCTGGAAATCATTCCCATCTCTTTTCAGAAGGAAAATTACCATATGGATACGTATTTTATTGGCACTAATTAAGCAGCAAGGTCTTTTGAGAATTTCGAGAAAAGGCAATTTTATACTTTTTAATGACTGTGCTGCTAGACGACCAGTTTTATAAACTGTGAACGTGGATAAGATGAAACGTAGCCTGCTTGTCTCTGCTTATGGCATTATTGGGTCGTTTGAGCTTGAACTATTTCTGATCTGTACCTGGTACTGCAAATCATGCCATTTTATATCACGTAAATCCCAATGACTAGCCTTCCTCACATTCAGCGATGTTAGGGCAAGACTGCCATTCTCTGAGACTGCCACTTCTTAAACTCAGTTATTTATTAGAAAGGAAAAGCTAAATGAGTCTCTTCTCTGTGCCAGGCCTACCCTGGCTCCCGGGTATCCCATGGGGAACCAGTATGGCATTAGTGAATACTGTCCTTGATGGCCATAGCTCCTGGGCCTGCTGGGACAAGGTGCTGTGGTAGGCACAGAGTTTTC